ACACATGAATCTGAAATATAAATTAGCTAAATATCAAATGGTTTTTTTCAATAAAGATTACCCTGTCTTTCTGAACAGTGAGTAAAAGGAAAGGGAATGAATTATCATGTCAGTGACACCTTTGTTCACACCATGGTTCTATGACCTAACAGCTGTCTGTATGTGGACAAGGTATTTATGTGCACTGAATTGCTCATCTGAAAAATGGAAATAATGCTGATCTCCTTTAGAGGCCTGGGAAGATTAAATGAAACACATTGAATGAAAGTACCCAAGCTCATACCAGGTACACAGTATTTTCTTGATAAGTTTAATCTCCCATTTTTGTAGTTAATAAAAATTTATACTTTTATAGGTTGTTTTTAAGTTTATTTTGAGAGAGAGAGAGAGACAGAGAGAGAGAGTGTGTGTATGTGTGAGTGGGGGAGAGGCAGAGAGAGAGGGAGAATGAGAATCCCAAGCAGCCTCTGTGTTGTTGGCATGGAGACTGATGAGAAACGAACCTTGAAATCACGACCTGACCTGAAATCAAGAGTCAGATGCTTAACCGACTGGGCCATCCAGGCGCCCCTATCCTGTGCTTTTATAGTTTTATAATTCATATTCTGTAGTAGTTATAGAACCTAGAGTGTTACTAGTAGCAAAAAGCCTCAAGGTTGTTCATTGTACCCAATATTTCTACATAGAAGTAAACAGAGTTCAAAGAGGATTTTCTTTGCCTCGGGTCACAAAGCTAGTTGTAAGGAAAGCTTTCAGAGACAGTGGAGCATAGTGAATTAAAAGCTTTGGAGTCTGACAGATCCAGCTTTGAATCCACAGGACATTACTTTCTAGCTTTATGATAATGGAAAAATGAACTTCTTTGTGTTTCAATTACTTTATCTTTAAAATGTAGGTGAAAATATATATCTCATAGAGTTATGAAAATTAAATGATAGACATAAAAACAGATTGATTCATATGTAATAAATGAGGATGGTAATTATAATCTTCATAATCTTTCCATCATGTGATTATTCAATTTTTATGTGCAAACATCTGGCATTTTTTTACCTGATAGCAGCTCAGATATCAGACTTAAAAATCTTATGTGAAAACTCTCTTTAAGAACTTACTATAAAGCAATAATGAAAACAATGGGTTATACAACAATGAATTCCAGAGCAAGTGGCTATTTCCAGAAAATTCCTAACAATATAAAATAGGCATCTATAAGTTATGCTGGACTACTGGCTTAGGAAGAAGGACAGCTGGGGATTGGAGAAGGTCTTATGTTAAGTTTTCCAACTTTTCTTATTAAATCTGACTCCAAACAATACAGTTTGTATGTTCTGTGTTGAACAGTGTATTCCATTACTAAGGGTTTTCTTTCTCTAAACTATCTGGTTTGTATAGGTTTAATGTTATTATTAAAAATAACATGTGTATTTGTTTTTTGAGAGAGAGAGTGACGATCTTGGCCTGATCTTAGGCTCAGTGCTTGGCACATGGCAATAATAAATGTTCACTATTATTACTACATTGCCTATAAACTCAACTCTTCTCTCAAGGCCTAATTCAAATCCCTCCTCCTTCTAACTTCTTAGCTGGCCTGTTTACAACTACACTGTACTGTGCTCCACTCACCCACTTTATAAACCACTTCTGTTTTCTATCTTAGCTTTCCTTCCCCTCCAGATCAGTTTTTAAGAGCTTATGTATTTTACTTTATTGACAATTTAAACATTTATGTTTGAGAACATTCTGTGTATCTAAATATACACAGGTTCAAAGCCATTTAAATTGCTCCATTGTGCCGGTGGAATGCGTTTTCATCAGTGAGGTCCCCAAACTGCATCTAATTAGGATGCCTAGGGTCTTCCAGGTTGGGACCACTTGGTATTAGACAAAGCCTTGGATGAGGAAATTAGTCCTAGGTGTCGGGCTCTTCACTGTCCTATCTCCGCTAAGACTTCCCTTTCCATATATAAGAATTTGATAGACTTTTGGTCCTTCTAGTTCTAAAATAATAGTTCCATATATTTTATGTGAATATATGGAACTATAGTTCCATATATATGGAATATATATGGAACTATATTCCATATATATTCCATATATATGGAACTATAGTTCCATATATATTCCATATATATATATATATATCTCTCACATTGGTCAATGAATACCCAAGGATCAGAATCCAAGTGATTGGAACACGATGCATCCATGTTGTGTATTTTGCATTTCTGAGATTGAGTGCAGTATTTCCCCTGCAGCTGGCCCCCTGCCCCGGGGGTTCTTCTCCTGGGCAATGGCCGCATCATCTGCTGGGAGCAAAGCTAGAAACCCTAACAGTCTGACCACACTCCTTCCTCTTTTGTGCCTAACGTCAGATCAGTCACCAGCTTCTCCTTGTAAATGTACCTTGATTCTGTTTCTCTCCTCACAAGCTTCGCTTTAGGGGGTAGAAGAAAGGAGGAATTGTTTGCCATTCGCACCTCAGAAGAAGAGGATACCATGACTATTACAGATAAAATGGAATTGCCGAAAATACTTGAGCTCATCTCTGCACATGCGCTCCATGATTTGGACATTGATTTTGCAAATGAGACTTTGTCACATATGTAGAAAGGAAAACCTGATAACAGTAGGAAATTTTTATTTAACTCCAGTCAGAGCATCCCCACACAGTTCAGGTTCTGCTCTGCTACCCATGGGGGCTTCTTTCTTCACTTTGTTTCTTCTAAAGCCTTGAATTGCTCCATGATCTAATATCTTTGCTCCATGAACTGCTCAGTCTTCTGTCTCTAACTTCTTCTTTGATAATTGTTATCACTGAGAAACAATGTCAAACAAAAGACACCTCTTCTCCCTGGCAATCTCACAATGCCTCCACATCATTGTCTGTCCAGTAAATATTTCCCTCCATCCACTCCCTATGCCTTTGTCTGTTCTTCCCACTGTCTTGTCCTCAAAAGACTCTAAATTTTACTGGAAGAGGTTGGATTGTACTCACCATGTGCCTGATAGTCTTAAGCAGTTGTTATTAACCATTTTGGTCTCAGAAATCCGTTATACTCTTAAAAAATATCATAAACTTCTAAAAGATTTTATTTATGTGGGCTATCTCTATGGATATTTACCATATTAAAAACTGAAACTGAGAAAACTTATTAAAATGTGTATTTATTTTAAATACATTGATGTTGGGGCACCTGGGTGGCTCAGTCGGTTGAGCGTCTGACTTCAGCTCAGGTCATGATCTCACAGCTCGTGAGTTCGAGCGCCACGTCGGGCTTTGTGCTGACAGCTCAGAGCCTGGAGCCTGCTTCAGATTCCATGTCTCCCTCTCTCTCTGCTCCTAACCCACTCAAATTCTGTCTCTGTCTCTCTCAAAAGTAAATAAAAACATTTAAAAATTTTAAATACGTTGATGTCATATTAATATAAATAACATTTTATGAAAATAATCAAATTTTCAAGAACCAAAAAAAAAATGAGATCCATTTTTACAATTATCTTTGTTGTTTGACTTAACAGAAAACAGCTGGATTCTCTTATCTGCTTTTGAATCCAATATGTTGCTATATAACACATCCTGTAATTTCTTGAAAAACTCCATCACACACTCGTGAAGTAATGAGAACAAAAAAAGGCAAATGACCTCTTACTGCTATCATGAAAATAGTTTTGACCTTGTGGACACCCTGAGAGCTGTGTACACTTTAAGAGCTGTTCCCTAGAGTAGAGAGAGAAACCACCAGCTCTCTTAAGCAATAATGGTTGAGGACCACAAAGAAAATGACAATCTCTCCCTCTCCAAACAAACACTTGTGTTTTAGTCATGTTGCAGACAGCCTTTGCTTCTCTACTGGGAAAACTCTTGGTTGACTCATGCTGCTTCCATTTCCAGACCGGCCTCCTTTCCTGCCCTCGTCCCTCCCTGTTGAATAACTGTGCATCTTTAAAATTAAGAACCGGTTTCTTTTTTTATTTATGAAGCTCTCTCTACCATTTCAGTTTCTCTGATTGGAATTCACCACACCTTCTGGACCTCACGTACTCCCAACCTGTAGCACTTTATTTTAGTAAGGCATGTTAGCATGAACCCCAATGTAGGAACCTGGGGTTTGACTCCTGACTGCGATTTATTAGTTGCATGACCCAGAACAAGTTTTCGAGGTCTTGCTTCTAAGTACCTTGGTTGCTCACCTATAAAAGAGCATAAAATCCTATAAACCTGTAAAATCTTCATGTGGATTTTGTGGTAATCAAATGAGATAATTTCTATGAAATACTTAGAACAGTTCCTATCAGATAGTAATTGCTCAACAGATGTCATCTGTCCCTATTCGTACTATTGTCATAATTATTATTATGTTTCTGCCTCACTTAAATAAACTGTATTCCCCGGATCCACCTGTGATGACTGAAAGATAGAGACTGCTCAATGAGATTTATTTAATAGATTAAAGAGTAAATAAAATTTTTAGGTCTTGTCACATTCTTTTTTAATTGCTTGAATAATAGCATGTATTTTGAAATGAGTCAGCATAAAGGAGTAGTAAGAATTATGCGCCAAGAGGGCACAGTGCTTACTTAACTAGAAGTTACCAGTTAATAGGCCTTATGCAAGTAATATCACCATTGTAGAACTTCCATCTGCAGAATAAGCAAAGACTTTTTTGTTCACCTTACAGGATTTTTGAGAGGATAAAAAAAATGCACCCGAAAGCAAGCCAAAAACTGCAAAGGGTCAAGTAAATGTAGGGAGTTATGGTTGTCGTTATTTTTAAATAGAGTTAGTTGGTGTTTTAGCAATGTCTGCCTTCTAAGAGACATTAATTCTTGATTGTCTTATATGAAACATTTTCCTTTTTAAAAATTAGTTATTATTAAGGTATGATGGAATTTATAGTTCCTGATTACCAAACGTAGAACATATAACATAAAAGTTGAAACAAAACAGAAATGTCTTTTATGGCTTCACAAATGATCTCTTTGTTTCATCATCCCAGGTGCCTGTGGTGGCCATACTGGGCTCAGGTGGAGGGTTCCGAGCCATGGTCGGATTCTCCGGTGTGATGAAGGCACTATATGAATCAGGAATTTTGGACTGTGCTACTTACGTTGCTGGCCTTTCTGGCTCCACATGGTTAGTATGCATTTTAAATCTTAGTTATATCATGCTAAATGTTTTGCATTTATCTACCTCAAACCTTAGAAAAGAAAAGAGGATTTAGAAAATTAACCTTAACTTCATGTTACTGAAGTATTGCAGCTTCATTGAATAATATGCTTCTTAAAAACGTTTTTTACGGCAAATTCATACATAATGATGACTCTTGTCATAAATTTACTCCCTTTAAGCCTGTTTGTAACTTAAAATGCAGTTAAATGTAAAATTTAAAAATAGATCAATTGAAATTCTATATAAATATCACAGAGGTGGAATAACATACTCCACCCGTAATTAATTTAATCTTCCTATAATTTTCTGATTTGTAATCTTTCAGCAATCATGTCTAAGTCTCCATGATTCACTGGGTATTCATTTTCTTCTCTAGGGCAAATAGAATGAAATGCAAGATACCTTAGTATATAAAAGAAGAAAAACAACTTTTGAATGCAGAAATGCATAAGTTTCACTGATTTGCATATAATTGTGAAATTAATCCTTTAAATGTATTTATGCGCAGCTAAATCTGGATAGAAACATAAAACATCTGCATGTATAATATTTGTGCACTGTAGATTTGACTTTTCACAAACGTGTATAAAACATGTTCAAAGACTCTACTGTGTACTTTTTGGTTTGCTTAACTCATAGAAGCACATTGAAAATCAAATATTAGTTCTTCCCCAGATGTCTCAACTATGAGTGTCACCTTATTACAAAATGTCTGACTTTGAATTACAAGGCTTTTTAATCATGCAGCCATAGTAAAGTTCATCTATTATAATACTATACTAAATATGTCTAGCACTCTAAAATTTCTGTACCTTCTCATCCTGTGAGATGGATCTGAGTTTTTTCATTTTTCAACTAAAGAAAATTTGACTCAGAAGCCAAGTGATTTGAACCAGCATGTAAAGTCAGGCTTTTGATCCTCTGTTCTAGCATTCTTTGAATTAAACCATAACCTTCTATTGGACAGGTATAGATTCTACATAGAGATTCACCTATAAAGAGTCTACAGTTTCTTAAATATTTTGAATCAGATTCTTTAGCTAAGAAACAAAAACTTAGAATTATGGTTGCCACCTTCTTTGTATGTACCCTCAAAATGATTTATCTCTTTTGAAAAAAGGGTGTAGCCCATCATTATTCTTTCCCTTGAAGGAAAGAACAGGCACCTGCCTGTTTAATGAGTAATATGATGGAAAAACTTGGACCCTTAGATTAATTTGCCTACTCAAGCATTTTGTTATTACTCTTTGAATGGCTTTCTTTCTCTGAATCCAATATTTGTTAGATCCCTGTGGTCCATCCCTGACTGATACATTACAGGAAGCTTACTTTCTTAGACTCAGCTAGTAAAGACAGAGCAGGTGTGATTTGGGGTGCTGATTTGAGGGTATAATAATGCATGTTTAGGCTTAATTAGAGCTGCAGTCATTGAGTTGGTTATGGATTTGGGGCAACTTTGGGCGACATCTTATATTCTGTCGGGATTCGAAAAACAAGTCCTGCAAAATGTAATTAAGAGAATTTTAAATGTTACAGGCCAATCATTTAAACATTTACAGACCATGCGTTTCTATATACAAAAATTTCTATATACAAAAAATTGTCTAAATTCCTCAAGATTAGCCTTCACTAATTTATTCTATTTCCTTAAAGGACACTCACTCCTAAAATCCTTACAATTGATTTTCACCTGAAAGCACCTAATTTTCAAATGTAATGGTGTCTTGAAATTCTTTTTCTCCTTGACTTTTTGGGGGAGCCAGGGAGGATGAGGTTGGCAGTTGGGACATTTCACACATTAGCTGTCCCTCTTACAAATCCCTCCTACTATGCCTTTTTGTTTTTATTTCATCCTCTCTTATTACTCTGCCCTCCATACTGTCTTTACTACTTTCACTGCTTTTCTCCTTAATGTGAGGAGACCTCCTTTTTGTTCTGTTATATCTACACCCCACCCCCTTGGTAATTTCACCAATTTCTACCACTTCAGCTATTACTACCAATAATTTAATTCATGGGACTCTAGAACACCCCAAAAGCTAATGGACCAAAAAGGGAAGGAAATCCCTAATGGACAATGCAAAGTAGCTGTCAGAGAAGAGCATCACGTAAAAAATGACCCAGAGGTCAAGGGTGGAGAGTACTTCAAGAAATAGTGGGTCTTTTAATAGAGTGAAACATGGGTGAGAAGCTTAGCTTAGAACTGGGTTTGGAAATCTTTAGTGGTTTTAGCAAAAATCACTAAAGGAAATAAAGAAAACTCTTGATCTTGAAATTGCAAGTAAGAAGTGAATAGAAGATGAAGAAAGGTGGAGAGGTAAACCTTTCAGGTGCTGTATTTCAAGAAGGGGAATATAGGAACTCGGGGAAGGGTTTTGGTTTTGTTTTATTTTCAGAATTTCAGGGACTTGGATATTTTTGTAGAAGTCTGAAGTAAAGGAAATAATGTAAAAGGATAGATGGAAGGTAAAGAAATAGGTGGTTTGTGGATAGAAAAAGATTCAGACAGAGACAGGATGGGACAAGAGAAGAAGCACAAGTGAAAGCTGTTCATTGTGGAGAGAAGAGATACTTCCTGAACAGAAGAAAAGGTGGTCAGGATGATGCATGTTCATTTTCTCTTGAACAGTATAGGCAAGAAGGTAAAAAGTTCAAAGGAAGGAATTCGGAAAGACTTGGATAAACAAATTACACTCTTGTGTAAGTTTTTATATTCTGCTGACACATGACCATTACTTGGCACAAATGAGGTAATACGGAAATATTTGGAGAAGCCCTGGACCTCCCAAAAAGGTTTCTGTGATCACAAAAGAGAATTTTATGTAGGACAAAGGCTTCCCTTGTAATTGCTACTACCCTTATGGTAATTATTTCTGAAATTATTTTGGGATGATACTGTGCTATTCATTACATATAAATGTTAGCCAACCAGTTGGCACAACTCTCTTCCCCAGTACAGCTTCATCTGCAGAATCATAAGGGGCTGTGGGCTCTTGACTGCCACGCTTGTGTGACCTTGCCATCTAAAGACAAATCAGAGTAGCTCTGCAATGATAGCAGTGGGGCTCAGTCCATTAAAGTGACCCAAACGGAATTCAAGAAGGAGAACTTTCAGTTCAGGAGTCTGAAGACTTCCCGCAGCATTGAACAATGAAACAGTTTTAGGGGATGTTGCCAGATAAGAGGTGATAGTCTAAAAGATCAAGGTGTAAGTTAGAGAAAAATATGTTGTTTGGGGTGGTGACTGTGCTTGGCTTGTTCGCTTAATGAATCTCTCCAGTGTATCACACACTGAATGACTAAATGAAGATTTGCATAAGTAACTGCCTTTTGAGGGGAAAATTAATCTAGAGATTTCTTTAGGGTTTCAGGCTATTTGCTTCACAAATGTCAAGGGTCTTCTCAAGCCATTCCGAATTTTAGTGCTTTTGAGACTTGCTTTTGACACTTTTTTAAGCATAGAAATTCTATATGTTTACCCCTAAGGATTCTGATTTGGCAAGTCCTTGGAGGCCAGGCACTGATATTTTAAAACATTGGCCAGGCGATCTGGAGGAAGAAACTGCACTGAGAATTCCTTGTGCAGTTTTGACATGATTTAGGTATTAGAATTTCACACTTAGCCTAAAATGCATTCGTATGGAGAGAATGATGTGTTCCATCATATAAATATGTTGAAAAATTAGAGGCCAATATCTTCAGATTTATAGAGAAATAAGTTGAGGATCCTTCCATTCATTAATTAACTATTTGTAGAGGCCCTGCTATGTCTAAGTCACTTAGTTTCAGAAATTTGATTGGTATAATTGGGAATCACGTATTAGTAAAGAGGTGAAAATTAAGACTTAACTATAGAGTTGCAAATTGGGGTGATGTTTGTGTGCTTTAGATGGTAGCATGTCCACAGAAACTAGTAACAGTGAATCCTGCCTTGGTGCAACCAAGGAAACAAAGACAGCTATTTAAAGAAAACTGGCCATTGCCTACCCCTCCATCTTTAGCATCACCAAAGCTAAAACTCAGGTCTTGCATGTCACCATGATGACATCATGAAGAGTCTGTCCAATTCACACTCATGAATTCTAAAAAATAAATGCTGAACAAGCAGAGAACATTAACCCAGTGCCAAAGGCTGAGGTATCTAGGTCTTTTTGTCTTTGGCTAGGGCTTGTATCCTCAAACCAAGTGCTTCATAGTAGGGAAAGAATCAGAGAGGGAAAGGGGGAGAGAAAAATTCCCTCAAGTGAATGAGTTTACTTCAGCATTTAGAGAAAAGAAATGGACTACAACCTTCCTACATGGAACAGAGAGAATTGGGCTGACATCTGTATACTTTTTGGCCATTTAAAAAAATCTACCTCTGAAACTGTGGCACAAGTCCTAGCTTCTGAGCAATCCTCAAACCCCAGAGGAAGGACTTTCTTGATCTAGAGCCAATGGCTAACATTGAGGAGAAGGGAAGGGAAGGGAAGGGAAGGGAAGGGAAGGGAAGGGAAGGGAAGGGAAGGGAAGGGAAGGGAAGGGAAGGGCAGGGCAGGACAGGGCAGGGCAGGGCCTTCAGATCTTGCTGGGGACAATTCATGGGGCAAAGGTACTTACTAGAATCATAAGTTGATTCATTTAAAGACCAGCTAAGTAGAGATGGAGAAGGGAAGTCTTAAATAATGTTATTTCAGATTTGAGTAATTACATCTTTCTGCTGAATAGTTGGAAATGACAACTTCCAACAGCAGAATGATCATATTATTTCCTTTTTATCTGTCTTTTGAAAAGATTATTCTGAGGCTAAATTGTTCTCTACTGACATTAAGTGTTTGGTCCTTTTCTTTATTTTTACCCTGCTTCATTAAGGAAAGGATTTAATGTATCTTATAAAGTAAAACTGGGTTGCATACAATAAGGATAGAAGTGAAAAAAGGTAAGTAAATATATAACTAGAAATTCAATTAAAAATTCATTCTATAACCTGTAGCTCTGAAAAGCATGAAACACAGGCTTGAGTTTAAGCTTTCTAAAGTCCAAGGCAAAATCGAACTATGTAAAATCCAATTACATAATATAATTTTTAAAAAGGTAAGGGCAAACCAATTGTCCATGGAGGTAGAAATTATTCTTGTTAATAAAACCAGTAAAGAAGTTCTTAGTGTTCCCATAAAGAATGAAGCATATCCTGGATAGTTCCAGAGTCAACCAGTTAGAGGCACCAAAAGATGTTTTATTTTCCTATTTTTATTATGTTCTTAAATACAAACCAATGCATTCCATCAATGCATGCAATTATTGAAAAGTAGGATGAGGTCCAGAAAACCAGGTGTTTATTGATTTTGATGAGTCATGTGATAGACCTTAGAATAACTACAGGAGTAGATAGACCCTAGTATCTCTCAAGTACTCTAAGCTGTATTTTTTATAGATATTTGGTAATTATCCCAGGCTTGAGTCTGGAGTAAGTCTTTTTTATTTATCTTTATCACATGTTTGGGGGGAATTTTAGGAATCCAATTTATGTAATAAAGATCTTTTAAGAATTCTTATTTGTTTTTATCTATTTATTATTAAGTTTATGTTATTTTGAGAGAGAGAGAAAGTGCACATGTGCACACAGGAGAGGCAGAGGGAGAGAGAGAATCCCAAGTAGGCTCTGTCCTATCAGCGCAGAGCCTGACACGGGGCTTGATCCCATAAACTGTGAGATCATGACCTGAGCTGAAGTTAAGAGTTGGACACTTAACCAACTGAGCCACCCAGGCGCCCCAAGGATTTTTATTTAAAAAAATTTTTTTGTGGGAGGAGCGCCTGGGTGGCTCAGTCGATTAAACGTCCGACTTCGGCTCAGGTCATGATCTCCCAGTCTGTGAGTTGGAACCCCGCATCGGGCTCTGTGCTGTCGGTTCAGAGCCTGGAGCCTGCTTCGGATTCTGTGTCTCCCTCTCTCTCCGCCCCTCCCCGACTCACGCTCTGTCTCTGTCTCTCAAAAAATGAATAAACGTTAAAAGGTCTCTCATCACTCTCCATTTGTTAACTTATAATTATTCTCAACTTGTCTCCAAAGAACTCTGAATCCAATAAGAAATTCTAATTTCATGTGAAATGGAAGTAGTTTGGTCTCTAAGAACTGAAATCTTATTTAAGAGATTTAATAAGCCTATCAGGGGAGAAGACACATTTTAAATTCTCATTCTGTTATTAATTGGGGAACTGTGAACATTTATTTAAATTCATCAATCCTCTCTTTCCTCATCTTTAAAATAGAAGAATTGAAAGCATTTCAGGTCTTCAAGGCAATAGCTTATGTACAGTTAACCAGCCCAGGCTTCAGGAAGGGCAGGGACCCAATAAAGGTCAGGTTTCTCCCCTCCCTGAAGGAAAGATAAACCATTGTAGTAGGCATTTCTATTTGAATGTCAAGGAAACAGGAGATTAAACTTTGCCCTGTTTTCTCTTTGGTTGGATGAAGGGGTGGAGTATATATTTCTTTCATTATTTTGTTTTCTCAGTTCAGTAGTTCAAAAACTGTGCTTTCCATGTGCTTGGCATTTGCTAGTCATTGAGGCTAGAGAAGATGAATAAACAAAGTTTTCCCAGCAAGAGATCACAAGACTAAGGGAGACAGATAAGTAAAGTCATACTTAATGTTCAGCACGGAGAGCTACAATACTAGAGATATTGGTGCACAGGAAGGAGGGTGGTAGCTGAATGTTTATTGTCTAAATATCAAATACCAAGGTAGTATCTACTGATTTCCAGTATTACTAGAAGTGGCCAAATGGCTGGTGGCCAAGAATGTCCATAAGAAAGCATTTACCTTGAAGACTTCTTTCTCTCCAGGATTTCACAATCAGATTTGGATGCCCAGAAATTCTGAGACCTACAATTGGCAAGACTCGAGATTCTACCCAGTTGGCAATGGGCAAAATAAAAACAAAAATACATTTGTTAGGAGAATTAGGCATTCACAATAGTTTAGACAGCACATTTCCTACCTATAGTTAATCATTATGGAAAGTCAAATTATCAGATTACTTGACTGGTATTATATCCAGACAAGTAAGTTTATTTACATGACTTAAATGTGTTGTGTTCATCAGTCTCTGATAATCTAATAGGAATTACCCATTCCCAGAGGCTAGACGGTGGACAGCCAGTAAGCCCACTAGGGCATCCTCTCCTCTGGACTGGGCTTGGGAAGTCCACTATTTCCTTTGAGACCTCTCTTTTACTTGGCCTTTGTTGTGGACCAGCTCCTTTCTGATTGATACATTCTTTCCTTAAATGGATTAATATCTTTAATCAGATAATTAAGTTAACCAACCATTTCTAACATTCTTTATTTTTCTTATGACAGAGAGCACCTGCCTTCTTTGGAGACTACTATGTGACATCCTTTCTCGTTACTAATCATCTTTTGTCTTCTTTACAGGTACATGTCAACCTTATATTCTCACCCCGATTTTCCAGAGAAAGGGCCAGAGGAGATTAATGAAGAGCTAATGAAAAATGTTAGCCACAACCCCCTTTTACTTCTCACACCACAGAAAGTTAAGAGATACATTGAGTCTCTATGGAAGAAGAAAAGCTCTGGGCAACCTGTCACCTTTACTGACATCTTTGGGATGTTAATTGGAGAAACACTAATTCACAATGTAAGCTATGGCGCAAACTGCAATCCTTTTAATACGAATCGGCCATGTATGTCATAATGTTTTAATAAAACAAAATGATGCATTTGGTTTTTCTTTTAATTTATTTAAATTCAAGTTAGTTAACATACAGTGTAGTACTGGTTTCAGGAGTAGAACCCAGTGATTCATCATTTCCATATAACATTTTATAAAAGTCACTTGACTCAACTGATTCTATCAACAATGTGTCCTGAGTACGCATTGTCCTGCCAGACATAACACTTCTACATTTCCAACTAGTGCTTACTAATTCTTTCTGTGTATCAGTTTTGATGTATAGAGAAGTACTTTTGTATTCTTCAATACACATTTTGACCTCTTACTGTCCACTCCTGCACACCCCAATGGCAGTCTTTTTAAATAAAGGGATGAATACAAGTAGTATTTTAGTGGTAGAGGAAAAACGAGGTTCCCTAAAGAAAGCCAGAAAAGGGAATAAGTCACATGGAGCAAGCCTATTTGACACATGACTACAGTGCGACATTTCATCTGAAGATAAAGTGTGGGAGACAGAGTCTGTGCCAGGGAATCTGGGGTCCAACTGCTTTCTGGGCTTCGTAGCTGCCAAGTTCTTCTTCAGTTCAAATGTAGCCATAATCTTTAAAAGAGTTACGGTTGTTCTTAGAATGAAGATAATAATTACCTCCATAGAGCTTACTTGTTGTCGTTTATTAGGACCCAGAGATTTCTAGAAGAAGGAAGACTGATTTTTATTAGAGAAGTTTTAAGTGTCTTGATTGGAAGTACTATTTTAAATAGTTTTCTCTCTGTATATGTTTCTATATTGAAAACCATTTCTTTATTTCTTCTGTGGACAGAGAATGAACACTACCTTGAGTAGTTTGAAGGAAAAAGTCAATTCTGCACAATGCCCTTTACCCCTTTTCACCTGTCTCCATGTCAAACCTGATGTTTCGGAGCTAATGTTTGCAGGTATGTGATTTCCCCTTTCAAAGCATTTCCAGGAACCTTTGAACTGCGGTTTCTAATGATTTTCATTAGAGGAAGATCCTAAGCAATTTTAGTTGTCTATTTTAATGTATTTTCGGTAACATAAAAACATTGGAAGGTACAAGAAAATGCTAAGCTAGATGATTTTCTGGTTGGACAGACTATTCCATGACACTAATATACATTCCAGTTACTAATATACCTTCATTTAAATTAGTAAAATAAAAAAGAAATTATTAAAAAGTCATGAATATAATCACCTCGATTTTAGTTACTCATTCCTCAAGGACTTTTAACAAAATAGCATGCTTTTAGGCAATGCATATGCTCTTGCTTACTGCTTATATTTTCATTAAATTGGGTAACATGATGTATGTTTATCATTCAAAGCACCATTTTCGTCTTTATAATTCAGCATTCAAAAAGTACTAGTCTATGCTTCTGGCAGCTGGCGAACAAAATACCTCATATTGTTAAATCTCACATGTAAATATTTGTTTTCTCTGTGGCCTTGCTTCTTGTTGGGTGCTCTAAAAGTATGTGACATCATACTTGCGGGGGCCTTTGCTCGTCCTAATCTGCAATGTGGTAGCATTTCTGACTGTAGATGGTAGGGTTCATTGTAATTTTAGGAGAAGTACCTCAGTGAAATCAGTCACTCCATGAGCTTAAAAAAGTCATTGTGAATGGAAGGTAATTAACAGATTTGTAGCCAGAATCCTTTTGCAAATTTTACAAGGTCTCACTCTTTTCAACTGACTATTCCCAGGCAAGAATTTTGAATTGTTTATAAAAAGCAGTGCACCTGGAATTCACTCATTCTAATCTTTATCAGTTAATTGACTAAAACATTCGTCATGCTTATGATTCAGAAATCACTATATTTATTATCTTATTCAATTTTTACTATAACTCGGAAGTGAGGTATTTTTAGCTCTGCTTCTTAGAAGCAAAAACAAAACCTCAGAAAAATTAAATGTTTTGCACATTGCCGTGTAGAAACTAAGCAGCAGAGCTGAGGTTTGTTCGCAAAAAGCCCTTGTTCTTTTTATTAAAATAATGGCTTCTGGGGCGCCTGGGTGGCGCAGTCGGTTAAGCGTCCGACTTCAGCCAGGTCACAATCTCGCGGTCCGTGAGTTCGAGCCCCGCGTCGGCTCTGGGCTGATGGCTCAGAGCCTGGAGCCTGTTTCTGATTCTGTGTCTCCCTCTCTCTCTGCCCCTCCCCCGTTCATGCTCTGTCTCTCTCTGTCCCAAAAATAAATAAAACGTTGAAAAAAAAATTTTTTTTAAAAAAATAAAAATAAAAAAATAAAATAATGGCTTCTCTGGTTACTGACTGTGTAGACGTAGTATGACAGGTGCTAAGCATGAACTCCCCTCCCCCGCCCCCACAGTATGTTGCCCCTGTTCTATAAGACCTTATAATCTGTTTGGGAAATCTGCAATCATTATTAAACAAGTTAAGATACAAGAAAGAAGTTACTGTGCATTGTTCCCTTGACCAAGTTACATGCCTTTTTTAGTCTCAGTTTCCACATCTGTTAAATGACGATGAGACTCTCATAGTGTTTTCACTAAATAAATGATATAAAGTATGCAAAGTACATAAAAGCAGTGGCAGGCCCAAATTAAGTTTAAGTAAATCTTAAAAATGTAGTGCTCTGTGAAAGCTGTATGAGAAATCAGAGGTCTTGGATCCTAATGATAAATAGGATTTGTATATGAGAGGCAAATTTAATTTTCGAATGGGAGGTAAGGCACGCAGTAGGAGTCTGGGATAACCATGGCATGTCAGCAGCAATTGGGAGCAAGATCTTGAATGTAATGTAGCTCAGAGGGAGAGGTGAAATTTATTCACGTAAGAAAAGTAAATGCCATGATGAAATTGGTTGTGTTTTGTTTTTGCTTTCCTAGAGCTGTTGTTTTTTTGAGGTCCTGGAATATTTGGAGATAGGTTGATAAATCCTCCTAGTAAGCTAGTCAAATCTGTGCATAGCCAAATAAGCCATTTTACCCCACAGCATTATGCTATGGTCAAATAAGCATTAGACTAATTTGGAAGCCTTGTCTTATTTCTGAGCTGAAATACATTAGGTGGGTCATTTAATCTGATTCTTATTTTCCTCGTTATTAAAAAAATGATATTAATATCAGGTTTATATTACAGAGCTGTTAAGACAATCACCTGAGACAGGCAGAAGACAGAATATCGTAAAAGAGACCTAAAATATAATAGTGTTATTACTATTGTTAAAATTGTGATGACATTTTGACAGTTACCTTTTTTCATTCTTAACTTTGAAGCAGTAGCAATTCTCAGTAGAAAATCTGATCGAGATAATTAAAGAAGAAGTAATATTTCAGCAAGTGAATATTTTGGCTTCATTTAGAATTGGGAAAGGCCGTTTTATGTTCAGTTGGTCATCTTTTGACCTGGATGTGTCTTATTTGGGCCATCTGCCTAACTGTGATACTGGTACCAGGATGAGAGATACACCATTAACCTTCATTGTTAAGCTTCTATGATAAGGAGATTCAAAGCTGTTTCTTCTAACAGAGTTGGACAAAGCCATCAAGCATTAGTTATGTGGATCTTATACCCGATAAGACATTCAAAAGTGTATGTTATGAAGGTTCAAGTAGCTTGGGTTATTGACGGAAAAAAAGGAGACATGTCTATACTTTATTCTTTTAAAGTTTGCTTAGATTAAAAGTGAATATTCAAGGGAAAAAGTTGAAATATTATCTGAATAATATTTTTAAAAGCCAAGGAGCCAAATTATCTTAGCTTACAGAAGTTTGATCGCCTTTATTTCAACAATATTAGAGAATGTTTTTCTTCCCTTTAGAATAGTTTTAAACATTTTCCTCTTTTGAAGATTTTAAACAAACATTCATTGTTTAAACTGTTAAATATTTTTGACTCCTTCACTTAACTACACTGCTTTCGTTTTCATTTCCATTGGTCAGTAAATTGCATTTATTGAGTACAACTTACCAACATCATGTTAAATTCTTTGAGATACCGTCAGAGTAAAAATATGGCATTTTTACTCAAGAAGGTTACAATCCCATTAATAAGACAAAAACAAAACATGAAAAATGAAAGAGCCATACACATAGAATATTACGATCTGTTTTTTTAGTATATGTGCTGCTGAAGTGAGCACGAATATTATGGTCTATCAAAGTGTGTAGAACTGATCTAAGTGTAAGATATCATACAGATTTATTATAGTCATACGGACAGCTTCATGAGGTGATGGAGCTCCGATTCCATTTGAACATGGAAAGATCTATCAAGTGGAGGTGAATAGTCCTCTTTGTGTGAAACAGGATGAGAAAATGCTCAGAAAGGGGGTCAAAAATATGTTTTCAAGAGCAGTAAAAAGAAACCAGACTTAGTACGAGCCGGTGAAGGGTGGTACATTTGGGAAAATTATTAGTGCCAAGTTACAGAAAGATTTGAATTCCAGACAGAAATATTTTTCTTCAGTTATGAAGATAGTGGGAAACATTTGGTGTTTAGGGGTAGGACAATGAAATTATTTAGTGTTTTTGAAAAAAGTATTTTGTTGATTCATATGGGTAGATTAACAGGGAAAGAAACCAGAAGCAGTGCTATCACTGTGCGTTTGTAATAGAGTCCTGGAACTAGGGAGATACTGATAAGAAGAGCAGAAGACGGAGGTGAAAAGCCCAGAGGTCATCAGTGAAAGGTGGTAATGGATTGGTTTGATGTGAGTGAGTAAAAGAGTGGTTTCAATTTTTGAAAAATTTCTTTTTGAGGGCTGTAATAGTGTTGTTTACCAAAAGAGGTAAGCTAGACTGGGAAGAAAGGTGATTAATTCCTTTCCAGGCAAGCATAGTGGGATGCGACGACAGTGTATGTAAGTGTAAATCCACAACAGGAAGTTGGAAAGGAGTAGATGGAGGTGTGGGAGAGAAGTTCAAGTTTGAAACATACGAGTTAACAGCAAAAGAATAATAGTCACGCACTACCATGGTGAGTTCTTGACTAAGGAATAAAGAGCAATCTTACCTTGAGAATGCTTTAATTACGTGTACACAAACCACAGCATTAATAAAGATGAGATTACTGGAGAAGTTATTGTGTTTCAGTACCCAAGATAAGGGGATGAGATTCAGAGATAGGTAATTACTTTTAGTGATACAGAAATTTTCCTAGCAGCCTCTGATTCATTGCTAGTCATATCTCACTAACTCCATGTAAATCATTATAAAGCACATCACTTTATGAAGAAAGGTATATGTGCCACTTGGCTTTGATTTGAAATGAATTATGTGTTCTCATCACAACTGTGATTTCATAACTTACTTCACAGAAGTAGAATGTTGTGATCTACCACTGAGTAAACAATAAATATACACCCGCAATCCCTTTTCTAAAACTAGAGATAGATGTCATGGAATTCAGAACATTTTAGATTTTAAAGTTTAAAAAAAAAAAAAAAACTTGCCGTGTATGGTACATAATAACCCCCGGGGATCTTATAATCAAATAGAGTGATTTCTGTAATAGAATGTGTCAATATGCATATTTAGTGAGACAAAAAAAAAATAAGCCATACATCATTCAGGACTGTTTTTTTTTTCTGCTGAATGAATTCAGGTCAGATTTTACCACCAAATGAATAGCAAAAAACTTTGTGGAGTTTTAAGTTATCTGGATTTTGGTTTGTTTGAATAGATATTTAATAGTTTCAGAAAGGGGAGTGGATAAAGGAGGGCAGAGGGTTATGGGTTAGGCAAGGGTGGATAATGGTGGAACTTCATAGAGGATGGCCAATGAAAATTGACCTTGAACTAAGGGATAAGAAGGAACAAGCCTTGGAATTGCATAAGGTAATAGCAAGCATTAAGGCACTGCGGTGTCAGTGAGCTTTCTCTTTGAGGAACATTAAGAAGATTTGTGTGGCTCAAGTGGAAAGAGCAAGACCGACATAATGGGAGATTGGTTAGGACATGAGGTCAAGAGACACTAGCCAGACCATTAAGAAGCCTTGTTGACCGCATTTTTGTGTTCAGTGTAATGGAAAGCCATTGGAAAGCTTTCAGCTGGCATTAGTGTGCTGTGATTTCTATTTTTAAAATTTTGTTCTGGCAACAGGTATCAAAAAGATAGCAGGGGAACAGAGAAGGGATGTTTTAGAAGACTACTGGGGAGATCCAGGGAGGAGGGTATGACAGCTTGTACCAGTGGGGTACAAATGGATGGTGATCCATGGCGGACAAATGGATAATCAGCCAGTTTTTAACCTTATCTGATAAGAGAGTCTACATAACTTGAGTTTTTGTAAGATATAAAGGGGAAAGAACTGTCAAGGATAAAGTGTATATAGTGGTATGAATATATGAAAAGTAGTGCCATTTACCAAGAAAAGGAAGACTGAGAGAGAAGCAAGTGTAGGAAATGGGTGTCAGAAATGGGAATTCTTTTTGGATGCATAATTAAACATAGTGATAGCCATGGAAATACATGAAATGTAGTAGTGGCTACCATTTATGGAGTGATTAAGATGTGCTATTACTTCTTCTGAGTTCTCTACATTTTTAAAACATTTTTTTAATGTTTATTTATTTTTGAGAGAGAGAAGGAGTGTGAGCGGGGGAGGACAGGGAGAGAGGGAGACACAGAATCCGAAGCAGGCTCCCGGCTCTGAGCTGTCTGCACTGAGCTTGATGTGGGGCTCGAACTCACGAACCATGAGATCATGACCAGAGCCGAAGTCGGATGCTTAACAGACTGAGCCACCCAGGCGCCCCTACGTTTCTTAACTCATTAGATTTTCACAATTCTACGGTCTCCTGATTTTATTCACATCCTATAGATTAGGGAAGTAAGACACCAAGAACACAAGTAATCTACCCAAGGTTGCACAGTTAGTAAGAAGAAACATGGGATTTGAACCTGGGACTCTGGCTCCATAGCCTCTACTCCTAGAAATTATACTTTATTGACCCTATTACCATGTATTTCTTAAGACACTCAGCATAAAAACTTTGTGTTATAATCTTGTGAGTTAGAACAATGGTTAATAGGCAAAATTAAGGAAAGATAAAGAAAAGGAAAATATTAGAAAACAATTTCTTCTACTTTCATAGTCTACTTGCGTTATCAGAGTTTAATTTCTTCTATCACCTTCATGGATTTTACATCTGAGTTAGCAGTTTTCTGTTTTCCATTCTTTAGAATTAAGATGGATTTTATTAAAGATGTCTGAGCTTTTAATGCAAAAGATATTCAGCTTGTACAAATTTGAAGGGATTTTTTTTTTTTTGTTCTCATTTCAGTAAGTTTTTTCCACTGACTTCTCTACAATGGCATATACATAAAGGCATTTGGTTAAGTTTTAAAAAATATTTTAAATAAATGAAAATAATCAAGGCATTGTTGGAAGTGATCTTTAACAGTGTGCATTTCTATAGTATTTTCCTACTAATGGATGTGCCTTTTAAAAATGCTTTCAGATTGGGTTGAATTTAGTCCATATGAGATTGGCATGGCTAAATATGGTACTTTTATGGCTCCTGACTTATTTGGAAGCAAATTTTTTATGGGAACAGTTGTGAAGAAATATGAAGAAAACCCCTTGCATTTCTTAATGGGTAAGTGATCAAAATCTACTCTTTGTCTGCCTGACTGTTTTATATCTTGGTGAATTCTAAGTTATTCTTCATTTTTGCTTTATTTTAGGTGTCTGGGGCAGTGCGTTTTCTATATTGTTCAACAGAGTCTTGGGAGTTTCTGGCTCACAAAATAAAGGTTCCACAATGGAGGAAGAACTAGGTATTGTAAAAACATGTTTCTGTTGACCATATTATGCTAAACTGGCAAATTTTAACATGCATGTATAGACAATTAAATCATCATAAAGACTGTAGTTATTCTGAAGTTACCAATAGCTTGGTTAAATCAACCTAAATATTTCCTGGAAATCATATGTATATTACTTCCTAAATATTATCCTGACACTGAGGTTGTGAATTTCATAAAAACTATCAATTCCTAAGAATAGTTTTCAACTAGGCATCTCTATTCCTCTTAGTCATTAAATATCTAAACATACTATTTGTTTCCTTTTATCAAATACAGTTAGTTTTTACAACATTAGACTCATCAGCAGTTAAACACAATATGACACCTAAATTCACACTTGCGGGTTTACTTAACTCTAAAATACTAACCCACTAGAATTGTTAGCTTCCTATAGCTGAGTCACATCAAGAAGGAGGAAAAAATTATTTCAAATCACATCTAGTAAATGAACACTAATGGTTTTCTTTAAATCTAACTTCCTGTCCCATAATAACTTAAAATATAATATTTACAAAACTTGAAAAAATAGACCAACTCATTTGAGGACCAGTGGTTTTCATTCGTTATAAGATGAACGACAGGAACTTTTATGTTTTGTTTGATGAGTAAATTTGACTCAAAGCAAACAAAATGAAACATACCTTCAGTGTCTCCCAAGTGCCGACCCTGTTTCCTTATGGCTACTTTGATTGGCTGTGGGAAGGAACAGTGAATGCTAAATCTGAATTGGGAGTCAGCCCATCAGGGACTGGGGAAGAGGGTCCTGTAGATTATCCGCACACTAACTACCTATTGTCTCTTCTCTGCCCATGAAATATCACAATCTATGTAAGGATAGAGTTAACAGAATAGCATAAATGACTTTTTCAACAATCATTTGAAGAATACTTGGATGTAAAAAGCTTAATGTAGGATTTTTTTTTGACCAGCTGCCCTTAGCTTTTCCAGGCAGTGACAGTTGATTCAATTAAGTTTTATATGCAAAAAAGAAAAAAGAACACAATTGTAGCATTAATTAATGCACTACAAATTGGCTTATAAGTAGTGTTATTCATCCTGCAAAATTGAGTTTAGCTATTTGATATGTGTATTATGTTCACAGCAGTTCTCCATGGTCCTTAATTTTTTTATTAAATAGTATCATTTGTATTTTTGAGTAGCTGTTGATAAGTAATGGAGAAGTGATCTTAATGATTGCACTAGAATGAAAGATTTTAAAATAAAAATAAAAACAATAAAGAAAGCACTTTGCCTTCTGTCCTCTGAGCAGCACTCACTTAACAAGCAGTCAGGGTTGGTGGAAGTTTTGAGCCTGCTCCGACCTTAACTTACAGAGCCACGTTCTCTTAAGAGTAACTATAAAGCCGAGTGTATCATGCTGAAATGTTCTGACTTGACTTTTTGAAATGAACATCACAGCGCAGATGGATAAATAGCCACCTAATTTTGCAAAAATCACTAACTCTTCTCAAAATTATGTGAAGATTTCAGAATAAAAGAGGAAAGAAACAGAAGGAGCCCATGTTATAATGCTTGCTTCTCTGAGCTCCTTCTCTGTTGAATGATCCAGATACCTCCAGAGCTTGTTATTTTTTCCTCCGATGGCAGGAAGAGAATAGGACTGAAATAACAGATCCGAAGGTGGGTGAGACAATGGCTGAAGGCCAAGGAAAAGGAGAATGTTTATATTAAACAGTCTTCAGAATATTCTTTGCTGTTGGATGTTTCCTTTGAGGCCAGTGGTTTGGCGGCCTACTTACTTGTCCTCTGTGTCAGACTGTGAGGGGTATTATGTGCTTGTGATCCAGGATGCGTGTTACCTCAGATTAGGTAAGGCTTTCCAGAAATGAGACCAGAGAGGTGACTGAGGGGAATCTGAAGACTCCTGCTGATTCTTTTCATCCAGTGGCTGATTAAAGTTTACCTCTTAAAGGGGTGTTCAGAGGTTGTTTCTGTTTTTGCTTTTTCCCCTCTGAAGAAAGACATTATGGAAAATTGGACTATAATCCGATAACTCGAAATGAAATTCTTCACATTTTCTCAAGGAATTTTGAATGTGAGCCATCTATGCTTTTGAACAGATGGAGCTACATATCATACCATAGTGATGGAAAATAGATACATTCAAATATTAAGCTGTTCATCTCTTGAAAATATCTTTGTAAAATTGAATGATATTTTGGTGAACCATTTTCTTAAAGGAGAGTATCAAGTTGACCGAAAAAAAAATGCTTAAAAAAAAAAGAAAGAAAATTTTGTTCTGCCAAAATATGTATAGGACCAAAAACATACCTAATTTATATGACACCCACAGTGGGTCATTTGCTAACACCTCACCCTCTTCTGTACAACAAAACTACTTTCTGTAATACTCATGAAATTAAATGAATAATATTAGTCTGTGAACACTGTCTTTTATTGAATTTCATATATGCAATCATACCAGTAAAATTAAATAAATCTAAAAAGTTAACCTACTACCTCAAGCATTTAAAACCCTTCCATTATATACTCTCATTCAGGTATGTGACATTTATGCAGATATAATAAACATACACAGAGTAATATGGGGAAACTATATGTTATACCTATATTTCTCCAAGTTTAAAGCCCCTAAATGATTCTAGAACGGAAAATTAAAAATTTAGAGTCAGGGTTTTTTCTAAATAAAAAAAAGTCTATTGACTCATAGAAGGAAAAAAAAAAAGTCACTGTTATATAGAAAGTGGTTTCATGTAAGTGTCCAAAGAAAGTTTGATTCTTCTACAAATGATAATAAGGATGGTCTGTGTGTTCTAAAAAAACAATGACTAGTTATTATGCCAGATTTTACTCCTGTCTTTGTTTTAAGGGTATATGGTTTCTAAGTTTTAATTTTCATAACCGCCCTCTTAATATGTTCTGAGAAAGCACAAATTTTTTGACACCAAAAGGCACATTTCAATAAACAATTTTCTGTATTATTGAAAATCAAAAGATACCTTATATTAGTAGCTTTCATTCATTTTGAAGGAACTGTTCTGTAGTCTTCCTATAGATTTTGGCTTTGCCCTGAATTTTCCCTCAGAAACAGCCTTAAACATATTTAATTAAAGAAAATTATATCGTTTTGGTATAACAGGAGCCTCCTATGACCAAGGTATTCTTTCTGTCAGAACTAAGAGAAATAAAGATCCTTTCCTTTAAATCATGAAGGAGTAGTTTTAGACTAATTTTTCCTGTCCCAGGAAATTTGTTTTCCAGTAGGAAATTTGAAACTATTGAATTAGGTACTAAATTGATCTAAATTTCCACTAATAAACCTAGTAGATCTCACTTGGTGGTTTTCCTCAGATTACTTCCTTATGATAAATTTAATTGTGAGCCTTGACACCTGAGATAGTCCAATTGTTTTGTTTTCTTTCCACAGAAAATATTACAGCAGAGCATATTGTGAGTAATGACAGCTCAGATAGCGATGATGAATCACAAGAACCCAAAGGTAAGGGAATTTTCTCTGGCACAGGTCCATTAGAAAAGAATATGAATGTTGTGTCTTATTGTCTCACTGAGTGCTATTGAATTGTAGCTTTCAGTTCACAGAGAAAATCAATGTTGTATGTGTAATAAAATGTACAACAGAAATATCCCTTACTCTTTTCTTTTTAATAGCTCAAAATGTTATCCATGGGACAAATGGAGAATAAACTAAGACGGTAGAAGTAACGAATTCTAGGTCTGATTAGAGCACCAGGCTTCTTGGCATGAAAATTGTGATATAGGCATATTTTCTAAGTTTATTTATTTATTTTGAGAGAGAGAGAGAGAGAGTGCACACAAGCAGGAGAGAGGCAGAGAGAGAGAGAGAGAGAGAGAGAGAGAGAGAGAGAGAGAGAGAGAGAGAGAGAGAGAATCCCAAGCAGGCACTGTCGGCACAGAGCCCAACGTGGGGAATAATCCCACAAACCGTGAGATCACAACCTGAGCCCAGATCAAGAGTTGGACACTTAACCAGCTGAGCCACCCAGGCGCCCTCTTATGGGAACATTTTTACATGGCTTTAAGTTAAAATTTTATCTTGAAAATTTTTATTATTGATAAAGTATCATGTGAAAACTTCTTCACACTCCCTGAGCCTTACCCCATTGTCAGCAATCTATCTTTTAGGAAGAGATCGGTGATAAAGTGGGGGAGAATTATCAAGAACTTTTTATTGTATATGTTATTTCTGAGTACAAATGAGTTCTTTCACACTTCGACAAGGCAGCTTTGAGCTTGGTGTGGATCAGGACATCAATGATGAAGTCGGGGCAGGGACAAGGTGAGGATCAGGGATATTTGTTGCCAATGTTATGTGGTAAATGGAGTGATTTTTACATTTTATAACAACTGGGTAAACATCCTACAACAGTTTGAATATGATCACCTAGATTTTAGAAGATATTAAGTGTTTTCTTGCTCTAAAGTTCAAGAATTCCTCCAGCCGTGGTGTAGATGTTGGAAGAGCCCGTTTAATCCTTGCTGCAAATCAACATTTTCACGCCTGAGCTGTGACTTACTCATCAGATGAGTTTGTATAACCTAGGAGAAAGCTACCTTCTCTGCAAAATTCAGCAGCTACACAAGCCCACAGCTTGGCTAGCATGTAGTTTCTTGTAACATTTTTAAAAAAATAACCTTTCCCGGGGCAGACAGAACTTTCCACCAGGCACTAAGTTTGACCACTGCTCGGTTTGCACTTCAGTCTCAATTTGCCCACTGTCCGGCTGCTTCACGCAGTCAGTGATTTGCCTCATTACGTATAGTAGCCAGGTCCTTAGGCAGGAACCCTGAAAGAACCCTACGCTGGAAAGAACTCAGTCCTAATTCCCTCTCCTTCATAGTTTTAATTTTAATTTTTTTAGTTGTTCAGGTCTTTTTATTATTATTATTATTATTATTATTATTATTATTATTATTATGAATTTCCTTTTAATGAAGGGAGCTAGCCAGTACAAAGGGAATAGACAGCATATGTCTAACATTTCTAGAACTGATATTGACATAAGGACTATCAGGTAGACATAATAATGGCTTGTTAATTATGAAGTAAATTACTATAGATGGGCAGTGCATTTGATCACCTCTGGTTACCCTAGGGCTGAGAAGTTCAAAGACCCTTTGAACATGGCTGCTTTGGTTTTAGTACCAGCCTAGTTTGGTGAAGGCTGTTGAGGATTATTTGGGGATTTCTAGTATTAGCTCTTAATATTCATTTTCTTCCTTTTAAATAAAATGTTTTTACAGTAGTTTTAGATTGACAACAAAATTGAGCGAAAAGAACAGAGAGTTCCCATATACTTCCTGAATACACACACACACACACAGAGCCTCCCCCACTATCAACATCCTATATCAGAGTGGTACATTTGTTATAATCCATGAACCTACATTGACACATCATTATCACCCCAAGTCCAAACTTTAGGATTTACTCTTGGTATCATATATTCTGTAGGTTTTCACAAACGTATAATGACATGTATCTACCATTATAGTTTGATGCAGAGTACTTTCACTGCCTTAAACATCCCTCTGTGTTGTTTATTCATCCCTCTACCCACCCCACCCCAACCTCTGGCAACCACTCGTATTTTTACTATCTTCATAGTTTTGCTTTTTCCAGAATGTCATATTGTTGGAATCATACAGAGTATAGCCTTTTCATATTGACTTCTTTCACTTAGTAATATGCATTTTAATTTCCTCCATGTCTTTTCATGGCTTGAGAGCTCTTTTTTGTTTGTGTTGGTTTTGTTTTGATTTGTTTGTAGCACTGAGTAACATTCCAATGTCTGGATGTACCAGTTTATTTATCCATTCACCTATTGAAGGGCATCTTATTTTCTTCCAATTTTTGACAAATATGAATAAAGCTGCTACAAATGCTCATGTTCAAATTTTGTGTAGATATGTTTTCAACTCCTTTGGGTAAAAACCAAGAAACATGATTGCTAGATCATGTGATGGGCGTATAATTTAGTTTTGTAGAAACTTCCAGGGGTGCCTGGGTGGCTCAGTTGATTGGGCATCTGACTCTTGATCTCAGCTCAGGTCCTTTTTTTGTTTTTTGGGGTTTTTTTTTTTTTGTATTTTTTTTAAATTAAATTCGAGTTAGTTAACACACAATGTAGTATTGGTTTCAGGAGTAGAGCCCAGTGATTCATGACTTACATATAACACCCAGTGCTTATCTCAACAAGTGCCCTCCTTCCTTAATGCTCGTCTCTAATTTAGCCCATCCTGCCATCCACCTCCCCTCCAGCAACCCTCAGTTTGTTCTCTGAACTTAAGAGTCTCTTATATATTCTACACAATATTCTATTGTGTATATATGCACACACACAATAGAATATCACTCAGCGATCAAAAAGAATGAAATCTTGCCATTTGCAATGATGTGGATGGAGCTAGAATGTATTATGCTAAGCAAAATAAGTCAATGAGAGAATTCCACTCATATGTGGACTTAAGAAACAAAACAGATGAACATATGAGAGCGGCTGGAAAGAGAGAGGGAAATAAACCATGAGAAACTCTTAATGATAGAGGACAAACTGTGAGTTGATGGAGGGAGTTGGGTGGGAGATGGGCTAACCAGGTGATATGATGGGTATTTAGGATTGTGGGTGTTGCATGTAAATGATGAATCACTGAATTCTATTTCTGAAACCAGTGTTGTACTGTATGTTAACTAACTAGAATTTAAATAAAATTTTGAAAAGACAAAAAAAAAGAGTCTCTTATGGTTTGCCTCCCTCTGTTTTTATCTTATTTTTCCTTCTCTTCCCCTATGTTCATCTGTTTTGTTTCTTTTTTTTTAATTTTTTTTAACATTTATTTATTTTTGAGAAGAGAGAGAGCATGAGCAGGAGAGGAGAGAGAAAGAGGGAGACACAGAATCTGAAACAGGCTCCAGGCTCTGAACTGTCAGTACAGAGCCCGACATGGGGCTCGAACTCATGGACCGTGAGATCATGACCTGAGCCGAAGTCGGATGCTTAACCGACTGAGCCACCCAGGTGCCCCATCTGTTTTGTTTCTTAAAGTCCACATATGAGTGAAATCATATGATATTTGTCTTTCTCTGACTGGCGTATTTCACTGAGCATAATATATTCTAGTTCCACCCAGGTTGTTGCAAATGGCAAGATTTTGTTTTTGATCACCGAGTAACATTCCATTGTGTGTGTATGTATATGTATATACATATCACATCCTCTTTATCCATTCATCAGTCGATGGACATTTGGGTTCTTTCCGTTATTTGGCTATTGTTGATAGTGCTGCTATAAACATTGGGATGCATGTGCCCTTTCAAATCAGCATTATTTTATGCTTTGGATAAATACCTAGTAGTGCAATTGCTGGGTCATAGGGTAGTTATACTTTTAATTTTTTGAGGAATCTCCATACTGTTTTCCAGAGTGGCTGCTAGTTTGCATTCCCACCAACAGTGCAAAAATCAGTGATCTCGGCTCAAGTCTTGATCTCACCTCCAGTCATGATCTCAGCGTTGTGAGTTTGAGCCCCACAT